AGTGAGATACAGAGTAAAGCACAACTCGTCTGCATCTGTGAAAAAGACACTAGACTACATGTACCATACATCCATATGCATTGTAGCAGAAACAATATTTATTTAAAAACAATCCTTATTCATTAATTTTTATAATTGCTGTTGTATTTATAGGATTTAAAGGATTTTTTTTCAACATCTGTTAAAAGTCGTTTGATCTGAAATAGCATTTTGTTGGCTTTTTCCTCCTTGGATTTCAAAACAACATTATATCAATAAATTGTAATAATATTCATTAAATATGATAAAGACATGTACACTCCTAAAAAATAAAGGTTATTTTTTGGTATCTATGGTTCCATGAAGAACCTTAAACTAATACCTAAAATATTTCCTTTTCACAAAAGATTCTTTAGTGAAAAAAAGTTTCCTCAGATTAGTAAAATGTCCTTCAAGCTAAGAAAACAACTGATCTTTGGGCAGCACAAAATGGTTCTTCCATGGCACTGCTGCAAAAACGATCTTTTGGAACCTTTATCTTTTAAAGTGTATGCATATTTGTATCGTCATCATTTAATTTAATCAATTGTATCTTTGATGTTTTACTGTAACTTCACAGACACAATTCTAAAAATATTAAAGTAGTTAATTAAAGCATTAAACACAACACAGACAATACTTACCTTATAAGATAACAGTTGCTGTTTATAAATATTTATTAAAAAAAAAAAAATGAATTCCAGAAAAAAGAGACAGTCTGTAACCTTCAAATAACAGGTCTGCTGCAGGTGTGTGTCTGAATAAGGGAGAGTCTGTCTTTTATACACCCAGCGGCATAGAGCATATTAACATAATGAAACTCTATTAGTACGACGTTCATTTGTTCATTTCTCATAATTACTGGTGCTGTTTACAGAGACGGGAGAGAGGAAGGATGGAGAATGATGAGACAGAATTAATCAGACAGTAAGCAAGGTTACGCCATACAGGACAGGAGGATGAATAGCGCCAAATATCTAAACAAACAAACATAGATATATTTGTCTGTCCAGCTGTACGTCCATCCATCCATCTATCAATCTGTCCCTCCACCTGTCTGTCCTTCTATCTATCTATCTATCTATCTATCTATCTATCTATCTGTCTGTCTGTCTGTCTGTCTGTCTGTCCATCCATCCATCCCTCTGTTGGACGTATGTCTGTCTATCCATCCTTCTGTCCCTCTGCCAGTTTGTCTAAATCTTTGCTCCTCATTACATGATATTCTGCATTTGGCATCCAATGGAACAATATCCAAAACACCTTCTGCGCTCTGTACGCATTAGTATTCACGAAATCAGGTCTGAAAATAATTTAAATTTTGCTACACTACACTGTAGATTCACTTCATTGCCATATACACTCCCACCACTCAGCCTTTGAACGGTTCATTTTTGGTCACATTTTTAAAATTATTCTGTTACTGTGTTAGTCATGCAAAATTCCTTTTGGAATCAACGGGTTATTATTTTGCTATTTATTTAAAAATGTGTATTTGTAAATGGCAATGGTGAAATCACCAAGTGTTCACCTCTGACTCAACAAATCGGCACCCTGATTACCTCAATTTCCTTTTTATATGGAATAAACGTAAAAGTTTTTTTTTTTAAGTGCTTTATTTGAACTCTGAAGCAGAACATTATGCACCAACAATGGTTCAATGGTAAAGTGGTGAGATGAGTCAAATCAGCATGATTCGTGGAATATTATCTACACATTTTACCAATTTGAATTACTGGTTAATACATATTAAATAATGATAAAACGGATCAAGTGCAAAACAGTATTAGAGGGCAACTGTTGAAAAACTGTAAAACAGAGATATTTTGTTATTGCTTCATATGGCCATTCATTAAAGAGCCACTGAAATCTTCAGTCATTCCCATTTCTGAAAGAGAAAAATAGTACTTTCACATACATTTTTCAGTTACTAGAAATAAAAGGAAACAAATCAATCAAACTATTAGGCCTATGTAATTCACCTTTTAATTGCAGATATGCAAGATGACCCAGCAGTGAGAGAAGATAGGAATTATCTGTGGAATAAGAAAATAGACTACTTTAGAAAAAATATTTTTTGAAATACTAGGAAAAATACTAACAAACTGAATAACCAAGAAAGAATAATATTTGAGAAGGGGACCAGATCACATAATATTAATGTACTAACATTTCAGATTATTCCTTAATATCAATTAAATGTAATGTTGTAATAATAATAATAATAATAATATTAATAATAAGTCATTATAAATGCTTTAATAACTGACTGTATAAAGATGCTGGTAAGCTTGAACTCTCATTCCACATGTCTCTTTTGCCCACAGCTCTGTGTCTTACATTAAGACTTCTGTGAGCATCTGCAGGAGAACCACAAAATTATTGCAATAAAACCAATAATAAATATACTTAAAATATACCTTTGCACAATATTTTCAAGTTTGTGTAATTGTTAGAATGCAATGAACTTACAAGGTCCCAGTAGGTACCCAGCACTGTTCAGAGTCCATCCCTTTTTCTCTGGATTCTGTGGGATTAACAGAGAGACCCATAAAAGAGATGATGAAAAACAAACATCTTGTTGAGCTTCAGAAGAGGTAATAGAAGATGTACCGTGAGGGTCATGCCATGGATCCTTGACAGATGTGCAGTTAAGACACAGAGTGAGATACAGAGTAAAGCACAACTCGTCTGCATCTGTGAAAAAGACACTAGACTACATGTACCATACATCCATATGCATTGTAGCAGAAACAATATTTATTTAAAAACAATCCTTATTCATTAATTTTTATAATTGCTGTTGTATTTATAGGATTTAAAGGATTTTTTTTCAACATCTGTTAAAAGTCGTTTGATCTGAAATAGCATTTTGTTGGCTTTTTCCTCCTTGGATTTCAAAACAACATTATATCAATAAATTGTAATAATATTCATTAAATATGATAAAGACATGTACACTCCTAAAAAATAAAGGTTATTTTTTGGTATCTATGGTTCCATGAAGAACCTTAAACTAATACCTAAAATATTTCCTTTTCACAAAAGATTCTTTAGTGAAAAAAAGTTTCCTCAGATTAGTAAAATGTCCTTCAAGCTAAGAAAACAACTGATCTTTGGGCAGCACAAAATGGTTCTTCCATGGCACTGCTGCAAAAACGATCTTTTGGAACCTTTATCTTTTAAAGTGTATGCATATTTGTATCGTCATCATTTAATTTAATCAATTGTATCTTTGATGTTTTACTGTAACTTCACAGACACAATTCTAAAAATATTAAAGTAGTTAATTAAAGCATTAAACACAACACAGACAATACTTACCTTATAAGATAACAGTTGCTGTTTATAAATATTTATTAAAAAAAAAAAAATGAATTCCAGAAAAAAGAGACAGTCTGAATAACAGGTATAACAGGTCTGCTGCAGGTGTGTGTCTGAATAAGGGAGAGTCTGTCTTTTATACACCCAAGCATATTAAGCATATTAACATAATGAAACTCTATTAGTACGACGTTCATTTGTTCATTTCTCATAATTACTGGTGCTGTTTACAGAGACGGGAGAGAGGAAGGATGGAGAATGATGAGACAGAATTAATCAGACAGTAAGCAAGGTTACGCCATACAGGACAGGAGGAGGAATAGCGCCAAATATCTAAACAAACAAACATAGATATATTTGTCTGTCCAGCTGTACGTCCATCCATCCATCTATCAATCTGTCCCTCCACCTGTCTGTCTATCTATCTATCTATCTATCTATCTATCTATCTATCTATCTATCATCTGTCTGTCTCTCTATCTGTCCATCCATACGTCTATCTATCTATCTATCTATCTATCTATCTATCTGTCTGTCCGTCCGTCCGTCCATCCAGCCATCCCTCTGTTGGACGTATGTCTGTCTATCCATCCTTCTGTCCCTCTGCCAGTTTGTCCATCCATCTGTCTATCTATCTGTATGTCTGTCTGTCCATCCATCCATCTGTCCGTCTGTTGGACGGGCATCTACCTATCTATCTATCCCTCCATCCCTCCACCCCTCCACCTGTCTGTCCTTCTGTCTATCTATCTATCTATCTGTCTGTCTGTCTGTCTGTCTGTCTATCTATCTATCTATCTATCTATCTATTAGATTGTGTCTCTGATCACATGAGCCAATACCAAAATCCATTTCATTCCATGATGCTTTTCTCCATTTAATAACAGCACTTTGCCCTAGATATAATTACAGCACCTACTGCTCCTTTCTATCCATTAACAGGGAAGCCCTAAAACATTCCACCTGATTATCTACAACTAATTGTGCTAAAGCTGCATTTGGGGCATGGGAGGGGGAACAGGCCGACCAGGAAGCGTGTTGAAACAGGGAATGGAAGCTGAAATTTCAGCCTCCTGTGGGAGGCATAATAATATATAATTTATAAAGATAAATCAACCCTGATCTCTGCCCCTGTGTTTCATTTTTATGCACTCATCTTCTGCTAAAATCAGCTCAGCTCTTATATCTGACGTAATTTATTTTGTCCCCTCTCAGAAATCAATATCTTGAAGTCTTGAGCAGAAGCTGAAATCATATGCATATGGAAATAGCTGATAGAAGAAATAGATGAAAACAGATTAATCTATTTAGTGCTTTTTTTTTATAAATGTCAAATCTTTTAATTGTTCTAAATCTTACAGCCTGTGAAAAACATGAAAACATCACAAAATGTCATATCATGATACATAATAATTTACATACCTTGTATTTCAAAATAAATGCTGCTAATTCAGAGGAGGAAGAGGGGAGTATATGGATCTAAAAGGTGTAAGAGTCTGTGACTAGGGCTGATATTTTATTTATGGTGGGTGTTCTGTACGCCTGCTTTCTGCTGAACTAGAGTCAAAGATGCTTTACTCACAGACAGGAACTCTCAAGCAATACAACGAATCAGAATTAAGAATTTTATTTATGCAAAATTTAGTTTTACATGATCGCATGTGAGGCCACCACGTTTCATTTACCCTCCGTGTAACATTACTGACTCTGCCCAGTTTATTTAAGGTAGGTTTACATCTTTATTTCTTTTGTGGAACATTATTAAAATGTTTTGAGAAATGCCAGTTAGATGTTGATTATATAGAAACATTGTTTATTAAAAACATTATTTCCTGAGAAAACAGTTATAGAGATTTTATTGCATAAATGTTATCAAAAATGTTTCTGGCTACAGTAACATTATAAAAGGGGAAAATAACAACAACAACAAAAAACACTGGCTGTTTTCACCATCATACAGGAGGTTAAAAAAAATCTAAATTTACGTAACCACCAAAGGATGTATTCTCAAATTTTCATAACAGCAAACAAAGCACTTTTGTCCCATTTGCTAGTGCTTGAATAGTTAATGGCATGCTTGTGTAAAACGATAGCTTTGGTTTCGTTACCATAGGCAAGGAAATACGAGAATACAAGACACTTCCTGTACCCTGTTCTGTTTTTGTGCTTGAGAAGAAGAGAGGGGGTTATTTTGTAGCATCTTTCTGGGCAGCAAATCCATATAAACAAATATAAAAACAAATGTAGCACACATGCTGTTCTTAAAGAAAAACTGTGTGAAACCAGCTTGGATCTGTGAACACTAAAAGTTGAACAATATGGCCTATTTTCTGCTTATCACCCTGCTACTGATAATACAACTTATTTTATTATTATTATTTATTTATTTGTTTTTTGTTTTTACAATTTTTCACTGGTTCTTATAAGATGATTTTAATATTTATTTATCTTGTGCTCACAGATATGGCATCTGAGTGCTGCCTCAGTCTCACCAAATACTTCCTCTTTCTCTTCAACTTGATATTCTTTGTAAGTTGCAAATGAGTCATAAGACACAGTTAACTGGTCTAAAATTAAAGGGGTTATATGATGCGATTTCAAGTTTTCCTTTCTCTTTGGAGTGTTACAAGCTGTTCGTGAATAGATAAGATCCCTAAAGTTGCAAAGACTAAAGTCTCAACCCCAAAGAGATATTCTTTATAAAAGTTAAGACTGGTCCACGCCCTCCTAAAACGCCTAACACGCCCCCACATGTCTACGTCACGATGTGGGAAGATTTGCATAACTTACATAAGAGGGTGTGACCTTATTGTTGCTGCCACCGCCGCCATGTCGTGAAGACGCTGTCTTTTCGTTTGCCTTTTGCTAGGATGCAATATTGATGTGCGCATGCGCAGTAAACCCTGGTAGGACAATCTGACCGGTAGGATAAAATGTCAGGACACCTAGACACGGCATTACAGTATGGTAAGGGACGTAGCATTTCCGTCACACGCTTGAGGTATTCGGCCAATCACAATGCACTGGATAGCTGGCCAATCACAGCACACCTCGCTTTTCAGACCGATGAGCTTTGTAAAAATCGACGCGTTTCAGAAAGGCGGGGCATAGAGGAGAAACAATAATGTACAGTATGTGGAAAATAATGTTTTTTGAACCTTAAATTGCATAAACACATTTCATTACACCAAATACACAAAATAATGTTCTTTTTAGCAACATCATATGACCCCTTTAAATAAAATAAAGTATTTTATAATATACCAAAACTATAAAATACACACATTACAATACAATTTGGTACATTTAACAGCAAAAATGAGATAATATTTTTTTCAGTAATATAACTGTTGTCTTTTTGGTCTCAGCAAGGCCAAACTTTTACATTTTATACAATGTACATGTCGGATTGCTGTTGGGCTCTGATTTTTCAACAAAAACTGTCTTATTCAGCTCTTAGGATCACTCCTCTTATCTATGGGACTATGGATACTACTTTCAGAGAACAGAATTTTCAGTATGTGTTACATTTTTTTGAGTGCAGAAATCACAATGCTATTTTGATTCTTTGTCTATTAATTTTATATTATATATTGTGAACTATTAAAGAATTTGCTCCATGTCTTTTACAGTGCCCTCCCCTCCCTACATTTCCATCTCTCTCTTCTCCTACTTCCTGATCATCAGTGGATCTGTGACCATGTCATTAGGCTTCTTAGGATGTCTGGGTTCTCTGAAGACTGTCAAATGCCTGCTGGCAACTGTGAGTTTTCAGATAAACAAAACTTGATGGGACTACATAGAGATACACTTTTATCTTAAAAATATAGTTGTTTGTTAGGAGAACTCCTAAAATGTTAAGAGCTTAGTTGTCACCAGCCTCTTGGGAATTGTGCATGTTCTTTGTACAGGTGTTTGTAATACAACAGTACATTTATTTGCTCCACTGAGCTGTAACAGCATGTTAAAACAAGCTTCATTTATCTGCAGTATTTTATCCTGCTCACGGTTCTTCTCGCGGCTCAGATAGTGGGTGGGGTTCTTTTCTACACCCAGAAGACTGAGGTAACTCAAGCATGAGGATCAGCAGTCCCACCCAGTTTGGTTGTTTTGAAAGCTATATGCCTATAAAGCTTCAGATAAAATCATGATCAAAACATCTTCAACTTATTTTTTTTCCCCACTCTCTTAATTAGTTGGCAGGTTCACTAAAGGAGCATACTCTTCTACTAATAAAGTCATTTGGAAGGAATGATTCCAGTCTCCAGAGTTTTGAAAATACTCTAGAGTACATTCAGCAGGAGGTGAGAGTCACAGCACAAAAGCACACACCAGTAAAAAACAAAAACAAAAAGAATGCTAAATATGAAAAATCTTTTGCAAGTTTTTGCAAACACATTTTCCAAGTACATTTCACACATAGAATTAAGTCAAATCCACAAATTAATAAGTGTATAAGTACATACTTTTTTATTTTAAGGCAAGTGTTTGCATGTAGTTTCAGTTAATGGCATAAAAATGATTCATGTAGTGCCAACACAAATGGATTTTACATATTTAAATGAAGCTATACACAATGAACTTAAGCAGTTGCATTGCTTTAGCTCATTTGAAATGTAAATTGAAAAAGCAGCAAAAACTAATTTTTTCAAATGTATATATTTAAGCTAAAAAGCTGAAAGATAAAAAGTTAAGAAAAGGTGTCTGACTACGAATGTAGTTTTCATGAACATGCAATATTATTTATTTTTTTAATTGTTGGATTATGTTTATCTTCTACCTGCCAGAGGTGTCCCCTGGTATATGCTATGATTTCATTAGAACTTTAAAGCTAACTTTGACAGGTACATTAAGAAGTTTGAAACAAGATATCACCTCCACCATTATATCTCCATAGGCCAAATGCTGTGGTTGGCATGGAACAGAAGATTGGGAGGAATCTATACCCTGTTCCTGCTACAACATAGGCAATGCCACTGTCAATGCGACATATGAAATCCAAGATCCAAATAAGTGTAACACATGTTTCCCAGATGATATCCTTTCAAATCACACCTGTGGGGTTTATAAACAGGTACGGATTCAGTTTCTGCCAAGTAATTATTTTGTAAATTGTGCTTCAACATAACGCATCGAGTTGTGCCTCTTTTCTCTCTCTCTCTAAGGGTTGCAGTGAGAATATAAAGGAATGGCTGGACGAAAATCTTCTCATGATTTTGGTGGTTATTTTGGCCATTTCTGTGGTGGAGGTAAGCAAGCTGTCACTTTAGACCCGAGTTAGAAAATCCAAATAACTATAACCCTTTACTGTCCAAGCTTAGAGTTAATGAGAATAAATGAAGTAAAATGCTGTTCTGTCTCATAGTGTCTTCAGTGGATATGCCTTGTATCTTACTGTTGCCTTAATCGCACACACCGCTGCTGCCCTAGAGAGTCACATGGCAGTCATGTTCAGCTGTCCAGGTCTCAGTTTGTGACTAGTGTAGTGTGTCTGAGTGCTTCATTTTTGCATACCGAAATAATGTCAGTCATGTATCACCCTTAAAGCCTGGATACACTACACAATTTTAAATCTGAACACATTTTGAAACACTAGGCATTATACACTTGCCAACTTTGTACGGTTGCAGAGAAAAACTGGACATCATTCACTAAAAAAAATGAGAATCACACACTACCAGACTACTCTCCAACCTCAACAACTGTATTCCAGCCTTAAGGAGCTTATTTTGAAATACTGAGTGAAAATGATCCCACTTATTACACGGCTCCTTTTTAAAAAATAAATGGGTGGACATAAAATATTGATTCAAAATTATTTTAGAATCTTACCTGTATATTATCAATCACAAAATAATTGGCCTAGTAGTAAGATAAACAACGCAATGACATTACAGTTATATTAAAACTGAGGTTCTCCATTTTTATTACAATCAGTAACTGAGATGTAAGATTGCATTTGTTAAAAACAAGAGAGAGCAGTCAAATTATGGGCCAAAAAGATCCTTTGTCTATTGTCAACAGTGAAGTGATATATTAAGTAAGTAATATATTAAGTAAAGCTCACAGAAAAGTCACTTTCAAACCCACCAAAATTCTGATTTCGACTGAATTCTGGCTGGGAAAATGTGCTGAACAACAGTAAATAAACTAAACTGCTAAATGAAATGTTGCTATGGACGATGGTAAACATTATTAAATTTTATGGCCGTTGAATGCTGCGATTGACCAATCAGAGTCAAATATAGAGCGCTGTGTAATAAGTTACATTAATGCATGATACTGGTGTGGAAACAATATAGCAACCAACCAATTCATAGTGTTGTTTAATAGTATATACATTTAACTGTACATTTTCTTACCTTTTTCTAACTGTGTGGCTGTTTGTTTTGTGAGCTCGGAGTTACAAAATATGATTGTACAAAGGCCTCGGTGGTTACTTTTAATTATATCTTTACTCACAGAGATTTCACTGTGGAATACTGGCAAGGTATATGTTGTTTGTGCTGTTATAATAGTAGCCTAGTGTGTGGTGTGAAGATTCGTCTATTGGCTTGGTCCCAACATTTGAATCTGCAGTGTTTGACCAGAAAAGTTAATTGAGTGCATTGCTAGAGGTAGATATTATATCATTAATGGTTAACTGAATGGTTGAACCATGGATGATTAATTTATGAAAAATATCCTCTTTGCAGATATGTGGTATGATCCTTTCGATGTGCCTGTATAAAGAGGGTTCTGTGGATTACAACACAATTCTCCACTAAGATGACCAGGATCAGTGAGGGAAAAAAACGTCAAGTATTTGTTTTCTGTCATTCATATATTTGATGTTTTGTTAATGTTTTTTATATTATTATTTTTCAGTACAGTACTTTGATTGTTTTATACAGATATTTTTTCTCCAAAAGGCAGTCGCTTGTTCATTTTCCTTGTTATTCAGATGTCATGTTTTTTTTTCTAGTATTTGTTTATGAAAAAGTACAAATAATTCGAACATTCGAATATTTAAAGGATATAAACCTTTATTTCGTGATTCTCAAAATATGTGCATGTGACTAAGAATGTTCTCATTTGTTCAGCCCTGGGTGAGAAAAACATATGGGCGGGACAGTATAATATTTCACAATTGTTGTGCACACAAAGCAAATGACCTCAATTTCGAGGCAATGTGTGTGATACTGTTCTCATAACATGTATTTTACATGTAAAATATTAAAATTCAAATTGTCCTTAATTCTATGTTGTTTATGTAAGGTGACAACAAGTGTTACACATTGGCTTTTAAAATGTTTGAATTTAAGTAAATTATATCATTTTAAGTAAATTGTGTATGTATACAAATACACTTAAAAAAAAAACAGGTTAATTGTAATAAAACTGCTGTTGCTAAATGGAAATAAAACAGTAAATTACATTATGATGTTGATTTTATGTTATAACGGCTGCATTTATGTGTTTATTTAAACTGAGGATCTAAATGGTACATGGGACATGTAATACCCCATAGCAAGTTATTGTAAGGGCAGGGCAGGGAGGAGGACAGGACAGGTGTTATCAGGTGTCATATATATACATGCTGTATTCATTTCCCTCATTAATTCCAGAGCAACACTACAGACTAAGGTAAGAAAGATATTATCACTATTTTTACAGTACTTTTAGTCTTGATGCATAAATAAATATATTTTACAAAATATATATATATATTCCATATTTAATCATTCATTATACTTCATTACCGTCCGTTTGATAAAGACATGAAGATGGAATCCCGCACATTGGTTCTGATCATGTTTTTAGGTGTCCTCTGTGGTAAGTGGGAAACAATTTTGACTTTTTCCAAATCATTGTTCTTCAAATTTCTAAATAATATATATATATATATATATATATATATATATATATATTGTAAGAGCATTATAATGAATTCAGCACACAACAAAAGCTTTTTTTAATTACAATTATAACAAAGGTTTCAAAATTGTGATCTCATTAGTTGCACAGGCACTGAGGTGCAACAACTGCCTGAAGATTGACATAGACAATCCCACCTGTGATAAGATAGAGGAGAAAGAATGCAGCAGTGGTTTTGATAAGTGCATTAAGATCAAAATGCATCCTCCAGCCTGTAAGTTGACCGTATTCTTTTCCTCAGATGTTAAAACTGATAAAAACAGGATAGTTCCTTATTTAAGTTCTATTGCATGTGTAAACTGAGATACAGGTGCATCAATTGATGGAGTGCAATGATTCATAGTGAAATTATTTAATGTGTGTGTTTCTTTTTGTAGACGGTGAGGTGCGCAGATGTGCAAATACTAATGAGTGTGATGCTCAGGTGCCTCCTCAGGTGGAGAAAGAGTGCTGCAACACAGACCTCTGCAACTGATCTGCTCCATCAGCCAAATGTATTTTACAATATGGTCTGTGATAATCTTACACTACTTAAAATGCTCAAAACATACAGCATACTATCATTGTTATTAATTGACTTTAATTTAATATATAGGTAAATATAAGTAGAGAATAATATAAAGAAATAAAATCTGGCCAGCAAAACGAGAAACAATGATGATTCTTTGTTTTCTAAAACATTGTATTTTTTTAGTTTTGAAATGTACAACAATTAAACTCTAAAACAAAACTGCTCAGTCAGCATTCACACAAAAAATGACTTCTCACCCAGACCAAACATCGCAAAAATGCAGACACAGAAACACCACAGTGCCAAAAAACATTTCCTTGACTAATTTTTCTTCTTGCTTTGTTTGCAAAGTTACATTTAAACTTACAATTTCAATCAAACTGAATAAAAATAGTCAATTCAGTTCCTAGTATTCATCTGTAAGGCAAAATAAAAAATATTTATATACAGATATATATAAATATGCTTGTGTTCAATGGGAACCTTTTTCTTACCCATCACAGAGATAGTGGCCTATTGAGTAGAGACAGAACAGACCGCTTGTTATAATAACCAGGGCAGATATAGACAGTAATGCATAGACAGACATTCTCTTTTCTGCTGCCCCTCGGACCACACACTGCTGTACTGAACACGTACCAAAATTTTGTGCATAACAAAGGTATGACTCTTCATTCAGTTTAGGCAGAACCCAGCACAGCAAGACATACACAAACAAAACCTCCACTGCAATCCGCAGCATGACGCTGAACAGGTACACCACCACACTGCTTTTGCTCTTGTGGAGGTCTATCATCATCCTACCACCAATAGTCATGGTGGGATCGGTGACAGCTCCCTGCTCGCTTTGAGATGCCATTTCTCTCTCCTTCTTCTTCTGGAATGAAGATTGAAAATGGGAGGAAAACAACTCCATGAGAAGGACCGAGAGCACAAGAAGGATGAAGAGGAAATGCCACGCCATCACTATAGCATTGTCAAAGTGTGTATTAAAGCAAGCTTTATTGCAGAAGGAGTCAGTGCTGTTACACTGGAAATCCTCATTTAGGCTTTTCCATGGAAACTGAGCCAGAAAGACGGTCACTAGGCGGATGCAGAGCAAGCCGAACCACATGGTGCGACCCTTATAGGTGGCAGTGGAGTCCACCGCAGTGCGGAGGATTGGGATGAGCCCGGTAACTATTGCTGCCATCGCTCTCTAGGGTGGTTTCAACTTCTTTATGGAAAATAAAGAATGTATCTGCATAAAAAAGGGAGAATTTTCAAGTACAGTCATACAACAAATATTTGGTATCTGCTTAAAATATTTGGTACATTGTTGAGATATGACATCAACATGATTTCAAAAATCAGTGTAGTTATTTTGTTTAAAGAACATGAGCCCAACATACCTTTTTATAGGGAACGAAGGTTTTGTGTGTTTGTCCAGCGCTGAAGTTGTTGTAATTTTTGAACTTCACTCACTATATAGCCTGTAACTGTATGTGTCATCAAAACTGGTTTCTCACATTTATCCAGTTTTTTTCTTAACTTGGGGTTAATACAAGATCAAGTAGTTTTGTCCTGTATTTGTCTATATAATAATATCTATATTTAACTCACTTCAAGTGTAAAATGTTAACTGCTCACCCCTTTAGATGATTTTCCAAACTGAATTTAAATGACATGTTAGTTTAATGGCATACTCTACCACTAGTTAAAATTTTTGACACACCTATTTTTTTTAACTAATACCAATTTAATTACTAATTTCACTATTTTCCACATGTATTATAAACAAAATAATCAAAACTATGAAATTGAAACTGCCGGCTTCTTTCTTTCACTATCTATGCCTACTCATCTATTTAATTAATCCTTAAAAAAATAATTAATTCATTACAATTAAAAAAAAAACAAAGTCATATCTTTGTGTCTACAAAACTAGATTAAACTAGATTAAATATTTTTAATATTATAGAAAATAATTTTTAATCAATGTGTCCAAAATTGTGAATGGTATTATAAATGAAACCTTTTTCAAATCATATTACACTACACTACACCAAACCGTCAAAAATCCATGAAGTACAATGGACCCTTTTCACAAGACTGAAAAACCCGGAAATGTGAAAAAGGTCCATTTTGCTTTAGGACACATAATGAAGAACAAGAGACGATATTGTTTAACTGTACAGCATAAAACCATTATATGATGTCCAAAACGTAATTACTGTCATATTTACCACCACATTCACTGGCTTGTTGCCTTAAAAAAAAACACTCATATAACAACAGCTGTTTAAATTTCAGAAGGAGAAAATTTTATTGATTTAAATGAGTCATTGGACTTGTGATTAAAATCAGCATTCAATTATTACACTGATTTCAAGTGTATAAACATGACATAGATTAAATCTGTGGTTATGACACTGAGGAGAACCATTGACTGACTCTTTGATTCAGACATACCTTAAAAATAAGAATCCTCTCAGCAATCTTGGCACATTTCTAAAGATAAATACATTTTGTACAATATCAAGGCAAATTAAAGACATCATTTTGTGACTATTTATGCACTGAAGCATTTAATCCTATTTAAAAATGAGATTTTATTGATTTTCAGGCTTTTTGCAAGATTCTCTGTTTTGTGAATAGAACAGCAGTAACAAAAATGTGAACATTGCTCAAATGTTCAAAACAGCTGACACGGTCAGCAACAAGTTCAGAGCCCCTCTTCCTTGTCTATATACATATGGGCTGGCATTGTCTGAAATGCCGACACCGGCACAGTCACCGGAACAGTCTGAGAAATAGCGGTGGGCTCGGATCCCGACGGTGACGCAGCATTAGGTGGTGACGGCAGGGGTTGGCTGTGCACTATGTCTGTCTGAGGCATGGAGGATGAGGACTCAGTGGCGCGGTGGGTGCGTAAGTGCTTGCGTAGGTAGGCAGTGAAAAGAAAAGCCTTTCCGCAAACAGTGCAGCAATGTGGCCGATTGGTCGAGTGGATGCGCTGGTGTTTACGAAGCCCGGCTTTATTCAGAAAACCCTTACCGCACTGGTCACAAACGTGAGGTCGTGGCTTGGGGTGCAGTTTCTCGTGTGCCTGCAGATCAGCCAGCTGAGCAAACTCTGCCTGGCAGGTCACACAAACATGTGGGCCAACAGGCAAAGCTGAAACCATAGAATCAGACGGGGGAGAGACAGTGTGAAGGCTGGTATGGGCCTGCACTTCCTCCCATGTACCGAATATCATATCACAGTGAGAGCAGGAAAACTGGGGAAGGGTGGTGGGAAACATCTGAGCTGTTTCAGGAGTGACCTGGACCTGCAACGGCCTCTCGGACAAGTGTGTCCTCTCATGTTTGCGCAAACTGGATGACACAACAAACGACTTGAAGCACAGCTGGCATTTGTAAGGACGCTCCCCTGAATGCACCCTTCGGTGTTTGTTCAGACTTGAGCGCTCCGTAAAGGACTTGCCACATTCCGTGCAAGAAAAAGGCCGCAGCCCGGAGTGAACTAGCATGTGGCGCCGCAGATCCCAAGAAGCGACGAAAGCTTTATCGCAGCATTGGCATTTGTAGGGCCGCTGACCTGAGTGCACACGCTGATGCACCGCAAGGTCTGCCGGCTGCCGAAACCTCTTAGTGCACTTGTCACAAGGGTACGGCTTGAATCCTTGATGCGCCCGTTGATGTCGACGGAAACTAGAGGGATCGGAGAACATCTTGCCGCACTGTGGACACAAGAAGGGTTTTTCACCCGAGTGGGTACGAAGATGGGACTGGTATGAGGACAGCTGAGTAAAACCTTTGCCACACTGTTCACACTGATACGGCTTGCTCTTGGAGTGGATTCGCAAGTGGCACGCCAAAGAGGATGACCGGGAGAAGGCTTTGCCACAGTCTGAACACAGGTAAGGCTTCTCGCCTGTGTGTGAACGCTCATGATTCTTCAAGTCCTTCAGCTCCGTGTACGTTTTACCACACTGGCCGCAAGAATACGGTCGGTGGCCTTGGTGATTACGCCGATGCTTGCGGTACACCGAAGGGTCGGCGAAACTCTTCCCACACTCTGAACAAAAGTAAGGCTTCTCCCCGGTGTGTGATCGTTGGTGCACTTTGAGTTTGGATAGTGTGGGATAACTCTTAGAGCAATGAGGGCAAGAGTGAGGCCTTTCGCCACTGTGCTGCGTCATGTGGATACGCAGGCAAATGGCCTGCATAAATGCCTTGCCACAGTCAAAACAAACAAACGGTTTCTCCCCTGTGTGTGAACGGCTGTGGTTGCGTAACTCTGTTGGAGTCTTGTAAGCCTTATGGCAGTGTGGGCACTGGAACGGACGCTGAGCAGAGTGGGAGCGCTGATGCTTGGAAAGCTGTGCCCGGCTGGAGAATGTCTTTGTGCACTTACCGCAGGTGTATTGCTGCTGTTTGTCTTTACCATGTACCGACAGCTTGTGGCTCTGTAGAGCTGAAGGGCTGGTAAAGACCTCCTGACAGGTTGAGCATTTAAAAGTGTGCAAAGTTTTTGGGGGTCTCCCTTTGCCTCTTCTTTTTGTAGGTTGTTCTGATGAGTTGTCTGGTTCTTTGTTGGGCTCGGTCTCAGAAGGCAGTGGTGTATACTGCTCTGCGGCTGGTGGGCTACCTGGATGAGGTGAAGCCATCCTGATGATGCTGGAGAGAACAAGAAAATGCACAATGAATGCCTTGAACTTATGTTTTAATTTAATTTAGAATTAATTTACTTACTTCATTTACTTTACTTAGTTCATTTATTTCACTTACATTTAACAGATTCATTTGTATATACTTGTTTTTATTATCACTTATATTCTTGGCTGTTATATGTTACTCTTTTTTTCCTTATTTTTTTCATTCTTTTTCTTTAGGAAAAATATATTACATAAATATTACATTAATAATAATAACAATAAATTATTGTATAATAATATTATTATATATAAAAACATTTTTTTTTACTTGACCACTGACCAAAAAAGAAAAAAGTGATTTGAAGTTGCAGGTTAGTACATACATTTACCTTTTTCAGTTTCAGTCAAAATACCATGATCACTACACTTTTTGTTAATTTTGTTTTAGAAATGCATTTCCCCCTGTCATTTAGTATATTTTATGTTTTATGACAATGGTGGCAAATTTAAGTTAACACAGATTTATTGTAAGAACATTTACTGTAGTAACTAGCATATAGTATTTGGTATACTAATGTATACTAATACTAATGCTATACAGCACAAAATGGCCGGCATTAGGACCTCAGGGGCAATTAGGAAAGACGCTCTTGTTCGCAAAGGAAGTTGGCATGCGCAGCTTGTGTACAAAACTGAATTACATTTCGATGTTAACAGAAATTATAAATGTATTATATATATGTATTAGAAATTAAACATAATGACCATGACCAAATCGAATCAATGTAAATGCAAAACAGTTGCAATTCAAAGAGCTAATGAACATATCTTTAACGCATACAACTACTCTTATTTTTCAATATCACACAAAATGGCTGGCTTTAGGACCGCTGAACACACGAAGCAATTTGCAGTGGGACGCTTGTCACTTCATCATAATCGCTGCATTTTTATGTATTTTTTTAACAATACGTGGTCGTTTTTTACCTCTTTAGTATGCCTACAAAATGTGGCTTACGTTACGTACCTTTTGTGCTCTCAGGAGAGACGGGTGTATCTTTGACAATGAATTTCAAATCGTTCAATCTCAGGAGAAGAACGGCGGCTTTAGGACCACGACGAAATTATAAAGTGAACGCAGATATGTGAGCCTTCATGACTTCCTCACTCACCACCCGGGGAATGTATACAAAACTATCTGAATTTTTCTTCAATTAAAAAGCTTTCATACCTCTGCTGTTTTGGTGTTCTTGCTACGGTGTTTCTACGGACTCCAGTGCACGGTGAGTGGGGTAGAATGGGGAGGAGAGACGGAGAGAACTGTGGGAGGGGAGATTATGTATGCTCGCTTCAATGTGCGTGGATGTGCAGTTGTTTTGAGCATATAAAGTTATATAACAAAATGTGAATTGGCTGAAAATAATGGTGCGGTTAACGGTCTAATAATGTGTAACTGTGTATTTGCAAAAGGTTTATTTTAAGAGTGGACAAATACTGAGCATTTTAAATAATACAAGCTGTTATTGATATTAATGATAACATTAAATAATAATAAGAATAAAAAAGAGGCTTCGAAAATATGTTTTGGGCGGAACAAATTCCTAGAAGTTCTGATAGCATCTAATATTTAATTGTTTACTTATAATGTAAGAGTAGCAATTGCTGTGTTTGCATTTGTGGCTATATAGTACAAAAATAAAACATTCTTGGTCACTAGTTTTGCGAAAAGCGGGGACTAAAATCAATAGTCCATGTTATTAAATTATTCCAATAGGAATTGGCGGAGGGGCTAGAAATAATATAATGATGTAATGAAAGCAATGCTTTTGTTAAGGAAAACACCTCTTTAAACTAACGTACGGACGTTTTTCACTGATGCACATTTCCTGTTTCCTAGCAACAAGAGCAGGAAGTGAGTGAGTCGAGTGGGATGGGGGAAAAGACAATTGGTAAAAAGGGGGACGAACACGCCCGTCCTGAAACTAAAATAAAGTGAACGGAGTGCCATCACTACTTGCACCAACTTCACACAGGGAGACTGCAACATTCAGTATGTATATTCCTAGCGTCATTTTTGTTGTATCAGTAGGTTAGTTTTAGCCACTGTTTCTAGCCGCCAAATGCTAACGTTAACTAGCTCGCAACAGGATGGGATGCTACTGCCTCTCCCAAATACATATTTTATTCCGATCATCTCAAGGGCAGTTTGTGTACACTATTAATTTAGACTACGGCTAGAAGGCTATTAAAACTATCAAGATTGTGCTTGTGTAGCTAGCTGTTAGGCTAATGTACCGGGGATGTGTTTACTGTGTCAACAGAGCTCCATTGTGAGGCAGTCTGCCATCTAACTGCTGGATATCTATAGAAATTCTATCTAAAATCTATTATAGATCAGTAATGCTGTCAGATCCCGACAGATATGCTGTATCAGCGTTATTTTATTGAATGGATATAAAGAAGAATAAAAACTGGAGCTGTCAGATTAAGGTTTCATGATCGATGATAAATAGGTTTAAATGGATATAAAAACCACTGCATGTACTTTGGTTTTATATAACGTCCAAGTTGGCAGTGGTGTATAAAGTACCTGAAAGCCATACTCAAGTAAAAGTACAGATATCTTACCAGAAAATTACTTTGGTAGAAGTTGAAGTCACCGTTTAGAATATTACTTGAGTAAAAGTCTTAAGTACAATAAATATCACATACTTTAAGTACGAAAAGTATTTTTTAAATCTTAAACGTTCTTAAGTATTGAAAGTAAAAGTAGATGCAAAATGGAAAAGAAGCATAAAAAAAAAATATATATATATATATATATATATATATATAAATAAATGTTTATATACCG